CAAGATGGCCGTCATCACTGCAGAACTGTTGTGAGTTGCCTAGAATCATAATATGAGATAGGCGGCGGTGTGAGTCTTGCAAATAAACAAATACATAAATAAACTGAACCTCATTCTTTTTTTACATGCATCCTGTATGCATTTGCAGGTTTTTAGTTCTGTTTAATTCTACATTTTCCATATACTGTACAGATATGATTAAAAGTGACTGCAGAAAATGTGCTCATATTGATATGCTCACCTTTTTCTATTATTGTTTTTCCTTTTATCGTAATGTTATATATCATAATGCATTGTGTTATTTCAGTGCCGATTTCAATGCAGCAATATTTATATAATATGATTTTAAATTATTAACATTCTATTATTTAAAAAGCTTGAAGTATTGGAAATAAAAAGAGAAAAATAAAAATTCTATCAGTATTTACGATGTCAGTGTTACAAGCATAAGATTATTTAACTTTTCATCCAAAGTTGAGTATAAGATAAAAAAGGAAAAAACACTGTAATTCCTATCGAAGTATTAGTTGTATGATAATAGTTTCAGTCTTGAACAAATTACTTAATATTAACATCTCCATTGTTACTTAATGTGTATGTGTGTGTTGATAAAAGGAAATAAAAAATAGACTAAACAGATTTAACAAAAGTTAAAATACATTTTTTTCTCTTTTTTTTTTTTGCATATTTTGTACAAGGTTTTTGCAGGAGCGTATAAGCCTGTTGCTAAACCAGCATACAAAGTGGGGGGTTTGGTGCAAACAAACTTAGGTCCTGTTTTATTTCCCCACTTTCGGGACCAACATCGAACAGCAACGTTCCGATGCTCACCCATTTTTCCCATTTTTATGGCCATGGCATCTTAGCAATCAGGGATAAAAGTGAAACCGATGGTTTACTGTATGAATTGATATCCTGGATGCAGTTCGTTTTCTTCACTTCTGGTTCTCTCAAAATTAGCTTGAAGAGCCAGCGGTCCTTGGGCCAAATGTCCGTACCCTGGCTTACCAGACCGCAAACAATGACATCCCTGAACACACTGTATGCGAAGTGGCCGGCTGGGGCATTATCAGCAACACGGGAAAGAAAACAGACAGGCTGCGGTATGTGCAACTGAGGATCATCAGTCGCAATCAATGCAATATGAGGAGGTTCCATGATGGCAGCGTGACGGAGAACATGATGTGCGCTGAATCCAGGAAGAAAGACTCCTGCAAGGTGCTCGCGGGGCTGGTGGAAGGAGGGAGAGAAAGAGAAAGGAGAGCATCTTTGTAATGCTACTCTGGGGTGAAAACAGAATCTTGAAAACTGTGAGCGAGAATTCCCAGCCAGAGTTATAGTGAGTTAATGAAGGCTTCCTACCTCTCTGAATTGGGTAGCCTCTTCTCACATAAACCACCTTCTTCATCCCCTGTTTTCTTCCCACCTGGTTATTTGAATTGAGAATTGTTCAGGATAGACTGCCTTTGAACATGGATGCTCTATTGCAGGTAGCAGCACTGAGAGATGTCACTCACCACCCACAGGCCAGATATGGTATTCAGCCATACTTTATGTGTCCCACAGACTCTCTGGAAGTCCTGCTCTCTCTCTCTCTCTCTCATCTATATCTATCTGTCTGTCTGTCTGTCTGTCTATCATCTCTCTCTCTCTCTCTCTGTCTCATCTATTTATATCTATTATCTATCTATCATCATCTTTACTGGTCCTTCATATGCTGTTTCAGTCACTAAAGTAACTCTAAGCAGCTTGCTCAGGGCAGTGGAGGAAGAATAACCATGACCCCAAAATGGAGGGTGGCATTGCAGCTAGGCGTTGCAGAATGCTAGGATGGAGAGAAAGTTATTTTAACTTCCTATTTATTTCCTGTCTTGCCTCTGAATACCTCTTTGGTCCCACTGATACTTTTATATTTAGTTAAACAGGTACGGTAGGCTTTGGAGGTAATTTAGAAAAACCTGCCCGACCTGTTTAATCCAAGTCAAAAAGCAGGACAAGCTCTTGCAGCCAAAAGACTGCCCTTTAGCACCCCCCAAAATGGCCACATCAGCTAAGTGTCGAACAGGTATGAAAAGTGGCTCAGAAGGTGGCCGCAAAATATTCTGGGTCTAACGTGCTAATAGAGATGCCAATGAAATCCCCCACATTTATTTATTTATTTATTTATTTATTTATTTATTTATTTATTTTGTCCCCCGCCCACCTCCCCCCAATGGAGGACTCTGGGCGGCTCACAACACATTAAAAACAATAAATAAATATACAATTAAAAGCCAATGTACACAGTTATAAAAGATGAAGGAAAAAGTTCAGGAGGCCGATGGTTCAAGGCAGCAACGCCCGGCCTCTAAGGGGCTAGCCAACCCCACACTTGATGACTTCCCTCCCCACCCCAGGCCAGATGGCAGAGCCAGGTCTTCATTTACCTGGATTTGTCTCCAGGGATGGGTTCACGTGACACCCTTCCAGTCCTCGTATATTTCCTGATTTTACTTGCACAACAGCACTTGTGCGATGGAACCGTGATCTCATTGCAGCCCATTTTAACCATACTGGCCACGTGTGAACTATGCTGTGCAAAAAAACCATCAGGTTGGATCCAAGGTTTGGAGAGGGGAGGGAGGGCATTTCCTGTTAATCAAGGTGCCACTACACTTCAGGGCCTTTAGGAAATTACCTGGAGAGATTGTGGGGAGACTGGAAAGGAATGGAAGAGAGGAGGCACAAACTCTTGAGAGACACAGAGCGAGGCGCTGCACAGCTTATCGCAAAAACAGCAACTTAGCCCAGCTGGAGAGAAATCTGGGAAGCAGTATTTCAAATCATTCAAAGAGGCTCTTCCTTAAGTGGGAAATTCCTCTTCCAATTTCCAAGATTTTGTATGGATCCCAGGTGGGCGTTTAAGATACCTTACTGAAATGTGAATTGTTTCCTTGACCTTGCTCAGCTGCAGGGGCTTGCCAATAGCAACGGACACAGGGTGGATTTGGGTCCAATTCCATCATTGAGTTGAAATCCTCCAAGTCAAAACTGACAGGTGAAGCTGGAGGCGAGGAAGGCAGATAAGCAGCAAGAAGGGAGCATCTTCTGAATTTTTTAACTTGTGGGTTCAAGAGCTGTTCTTCATGATAAACCATGTCTACTGCCCTCTAGTTATCAATGGTTCATCTGAATCCCGCTTTTTGTGACCCTGGGTCCTGTTAATCAAGATGAGCCATAGTGGTTACGTTCAAAGTAAACTTAATTGCAAAAGGAGGGCATCTTTTAGAAATCCACACCAAAAAATTACGATGGAAGAAAAATACAAAACAAGGAGAGTCAGTAAACCTGTTGCCCTCTTTCAATCCTGTGAGTTTTCTTAAATAATCTTTTTAACTTCTGAAAGGGAAAAGCCGCCTTGCTGCAAAACTTTTAGCAATCTTAATAACAAAAGCAGCATTCCGAAATAGCATTCCAAAAACATTCCAACAGGGAGAGATGGAAGTTCTGAATCTGGGTAGGAAAAATGTAAGGTACAAGCATAGGATGGGGGAGACCCGGCTTGGCAGTAGTACATGTGAATCTGGGTGTCCTTGTCCCAATTTTTTTTTCCCTGTTGTCGTTTAAAAAAAAAATATGAAAAAATTGAGATAACCAAGAATACACACTGCACTTTATGTGTTCAAAATACTTTGCAAATATTTTCTTTACAACATCTTTACAAAGTAGGTCAGTGATAGAATTGATGGTACCACTCATGGGAGGTGAGATTTGAAGCAAGATAATAATAATAATCCCAGGTCCTTGGGAAGGACTTGGCAGGTGTACAAAAATGCCAAATCCAGCCTAAACATCTGGATGACTATGAGACCAACTATTGTAATAATAATATAAAAACTGGGACTGACCTGATTTGTTTCTTAGGGAGATTCTGGTGGGCCTATTGTTTGCAACGGTATTGCTGAAGGCATCGTGACCACTGGCTCCACCGTTTGTGGCAACTGGCTGAAACCTGGAATTTATACCCGGACTGCTCCCTATGTCTCGTGGATCACCAGCACCATGGCATCCAACAGTTAAGTCATGGGAGAGATTGCTTGGTATCTCTCAATGCCAAGGCCTCAGGATGCCAGAGAGGATGGAGAATTCTCCCAAGAGGTTCAGAAAGGAACCTCCTCGTATGTAATTATAGAATATGGAGGTGAGCACATTTCTCTCCTTTCTTTTTATCAAGGGCACCTAAACATCAGCCAGCATTGCTCACCAAGGAATCTTGCCAGTTTGTAAAGAAAAAAAATGAAGTGGAAAGCAGATGGTGTTGCTTTTGTCATTATTTAAGACAGAGAGAGACTGGAATCCCACTCTACGTGACATCCCTCTTTCCAATCTCTTATTTGGGTGGTGGCTAAGTTCAGAACATGGTTTTAGGTGCTGGATGTTGCCAGCCTCCAGGTTCTGGGGGCAAATCCTAATATCTCCAAGGTGAGCCAGGGCAGAACTGCCCTGAAACCCGGAGAATTCCTGCCAATCAGTGCAAATCATACAACTGGGGAGAATCTCTGGCTCACCTGACAGGGACCACCTTCTAATGTCCCTGGCATGTTTTGCCAACAAGCAAAGAAAGCACATTTTGCTCACCTTTGGGGTCTCCCTCCTTTTCTTCAGAAGCACTTCATATGTTTGGAGAGCAAAACACCGAAAAAGAAGGCCTTCACTCAGATGATATCCACCCATGTGGATTCATTACAGCATTTCATATTTGGGGGGAGGGTGACATTGGCTAAATATTTAGAATATAAACCTTTTTCAGCTGGGGAAGCACACTTTTTTCAAATGAATTCAGCTCAGATGTCTCTAGTGATGTAATCATATTGCCAGGATGGAGAAATATTTAGTTTCTCTGGACGCTGGGAGCTTAGGATGGGAATGGATGTACTTTAACTTGTAAGAAGTTTGGCATACCGCCTATTAACTGTTATTTTAGCATTCTCCCCTCCCATTTAAACTGTGCTGCTCAAAAGCATCTATTTCGCTCCGGGGTTTTCTCAGGGGTCCAGCATTCAGCCCACCATGGGCTGCCCACCCCATCTTAGAGAGTCAATAAATAAACATAGCATTGGCCCAAGTAAAAGTTAAAGAATTATGGCTTTTTTTTTTCCTTCCCGAGTTCTTTCTTCTTCATGTCCCCTATTTTGGGGAGGCTGTCAGTGAATATTTCACTGATCAATGCAAGGCACTCTCTATATTCTAGAGCTGGAGTTACTAATCTAGTGGCTCAGAGGAACTTCTGTAGGCCTAGGCAAGAGAGGGGGCTAATGCTTGAAAAAGCGGGCTGAAATGAATCAGATGGAATTTATCAGGGAGAGGTGTAGAATCTGGGTAGGAAAAATGTAAGGTTCAAGCATAGCATGTGGGAGACCTGGCTTGGCAGTAGTACATGTGAAGGGAATCTGGGTGTCCTTGTTCACGACAAGCTAGACACCAGCAAGGCTGGTTCTAGACCTAGGCAGCCCAGGCAGTCGACTAGGGCACCAAATTGCTGGCTGGGGAATTCTGGGAGTTGAAGTCCATACGTCTTAAAGTTGCCAAGTTTGAAAAGCACTGCTCTAGTCAATCCACCAGGAGGTTGGACTAGATGCCTTCTAGGATCCCTTCCAACTCTATGATTCTGATTCATGCTCTATATCAGTATCTCTCAACCTCAGCAGCTTTAAGATATGTGGACTTCGCTTCCCAGAATTCCCCACCCAGCATGCTGGCTGGGGAATTCTGGGAGTTGAAGTCCACACATCTTAAAGTCGCTGAGGTTGAGAAACACTGCTCTATATGAACTCTACATGCAGTCAGGGAGGAACATAGTACTTTACAGGTAGCCAAACAACAACAACAAAAAGCATTGATCCGATACCTACTTTGAAGCCACATTTCAAGACCAACATTTTATCCCATTTTCAGAATCAGAGAATGCAAAAGCTTGATCATGTCTGGTTTTCTAGCGCAGGCTGTTATACTCGGATGGACAATCAAACAGAGATGGGAAGAAAAGGAATTTGTTCCCCCACATTTTCCCCTTAATGCAGAAAGCTTGCTTGCCCCCCCCCCACTGGAAATAGTGCAGCTAACTAGATTTGCTTCAAGTCTCTTCAAACCCAGTTAATTTCTCTCTGAAAAGAGAAAAAATACACTTGTTTTTAAAAAGATTCATGGGTACATATGTGAATGAACACTGCCACAGGCAGTCCTCCGTCATGGCCCGAACAAATTTTGATCCACTCTTAAAATTTTGAAAGGACTACTTATGTGCATGCATGCCAATGCAGCCTTTCAAAAACAGGCCGTTTTTTCCCCACATTTCTAGAATGGTAATCCCGTTACTGCATTGCAATAAAAACAACAGTATTGTGGAGTCTTAGGGCATAAGATTATATGGATTAGGCCTTCAGATTCATAAAGTATTATGCTGAGGGATGGAGGTCAACAGACAATACGCCTATCATTGGGCAGATGGTGAACAATGAGGGCAAAGATAAATGAAACGTAGAAGATATAGGCAGTGATAATTGCCTTATTGATAGTGGCCATTCCCCAAACAGTTGTTAGACCAGACATCACCATTCTTGCATTAATTTTCTCTTGGGAATGAATGGATTGAACCACACAATTACTCAAGACGGTTTCACAACTCTCTAAGGCAGTATTTCTCAACCTTGGCAACTTTGAGATATGGACTTCATGCTGGCTGGGGAATTCTGGGAGTTGAAGTCCACACATCTGAAAGTTGCCAAGGTTGAGAAACACTGCTCTAAGGTCTACATTGTGACCTAGAACCAACTAGTTTCTACCTGTCTTATGCAATCTGGCAAGAAGGGGATGTTTGGGGTACCGTCAGCTAGGGAGTGTCAGCTGATGAGGCCCAGAAGGAGAGCCTTTTCTGCCGTGGCACCCATCCTTTGGAACATCATCCCCCCACCCCCGGAGATTAGATTGGCCCTGTCCCTGTTGGTCTTTCTTAAGGCCTTGAAAACCTGTTTGTGCTCAAGCCTGGGGCCCTGGGTACAGTTTAAAGCCCAACTCCAGGTTGTATGGATGACAGATTAGATTGTGCCCGGGTGCTAGGGGTTTTTATTTTTATTTTATATTATATATTATATATTTTGTGTTTTTGTTTTATTGTAAGCCCCCTAGAGTCACGTAAAAATGAGATGGGTGGGTATATAAATCGAGTAAATAAATAAATCAATTTCAAGGAGGTAATTGTAGGAGAATGTAAGCTTTGGAATATTGGCTGTAGAGCAAGACAGATTAGGTTCACGTCGGTGAAGATAAAATGCACAGCCTCCTGCATTCCCTGGGACAGGCATATGTAAAAGCAACCCAGCTTTTATATATTTTTTTACCTATTCTTTAGGGAGCAAGCCACACACTCACTTGCACTGATGACATTACCTAGTCAGGTAATGCAACGTCTGCAAGGAAACAACCAAGTTCAGGGAGCACCAAGGACTCCACATTTCAACCATAAGCTACAGATATTCTCTTCTATTGCAACCCAGTTTGGCAGACAGGATTAGTAGGATTTTCTAGAGGCAAGCAGTGACTTCTACTTTCCACTAGAGGATGCCCAAGTATTCTGGAATCCAAAAATCTTTCTCTTCTGCATATATACAGCCTGAAAAGGAAATCTCTTTATCTTTAAAAATGTAGAAGAGCTCTTTCCTTTAAAAACAGGGACAAACTTAAACCTAGGGACCTGGGTGCTAATACAGTACACTAAACTGCAAACCTAGAGAATGTCAAGTTAAACCATTTAGTTCAACCATGGTTTGGCTCACAACTGATTTCAATCAATTGTAATCAGTCGTAAGCTGCCCAGAGTCCCCCATTAGGGGGAGATGGGCGGGGATAAATTTAATAAATAAATAAAATCAATAAATAAAATCAATACTGTAACCAGAGATCCCTCATGCCTTGCAGCAATTTTGCAACAACTCAAGCCCAGGTTGGGTGCTGGCCAGGGTTTCCAGCTGGAAATGAAATGGGAATGAAATTTGTTTAGCTTGCATTTAGATGTGAACTTACTTAAAGTTCCAAAGAAATACAGAGATTGGACTTAGCTATCATTAAAATGCAAGTTTCTCCAAATATTACAATACATGAACATGAAAAAGGAATCTGTTAGGAAAGAATCTATGTAAAACGCACATTTAAAAAAATACGTACAATGCAAAATTATCTCTTTAACTGTTCTGGTATTTTCCCCCTTTTCATGCTTGTTCTATGGGGGGGAGAGAGGAAAGATGTGTGTGTGAGAGAGAGAATAGTTTGTGTGAGTGCAATAGAATGGTTAGTAAGTATGCAGGTGACTTGCTATTTTTATGAAGTAGGTACTTTATTTTACAGGCCATTAATTCAATTCAATTTTAATCTGGACTTAACACTTTTTTTTAGCATTACTCCTGGCAGGTTTTGTCTGTGTGTGTGTGTATTGATTGTGTTCCATCAAATCATTTTCGACTCCTAGAGACCACATAGATTTTCTTCATGACAATCTATCCTTAGCCTGATCTTTCAGGTCTTCCAATGGTGCCCCCATCGCCATTGTAACCAAGTCCCTCTGCCTTGCTGCTGGTCATCCTCTTCTCTTTCCTTCCGCCCTTCCCAGCATTAGAGCCTTTTCCAGAGAGCAAGGTCTTTGCATGAGAGCCAGTTTGGTGTAGTGGTTAAAGCAGAAGGCTAGAAACTGGGAGATTCAAGTTCTAGTCCTGCCTTAGGCATGAAGCCACCTGGGTGACCTTGGGCCAGTCACTCTCTCTTAGCCCTAGGAAGGAGGCAGTGGCAAGCCACTTCTGAAATCTTGCCAAGAAGACTGCAGGGACCGGGAGTCAACACTGACTTGAAGGTATGCGCGCACACACACTTACACACATCTTCACGCAATGTCTTCTAAGTATGATAATTTGAGCCTGGTCACTTGTATCTCTAGTAAGAACTGAGCTGGGGTTTTTTGATGATCCATCAGTTTGTTTCCTTGGCAGTCCACAGTATTCTCAAGAGTCTTCTCCAACACCAAAATTCAGAAGTGTCAGTACTCTTCCTATCCTGCGTCTTCAAAGTCCAACTATCACTTCTATAAAGATAGATTGAGAAAGAGAAATAGGGAACACAACCATGGGAAAAGAAAGTAACACAAAATGCCAGTGGGGTGTGGCAGCTGAGAATGCTGAAGATCTTGGATTCAAATCTCCACTCAAATCAACCTACCTGTGAGAAAAAATGGGGGGCTTGTGAGTGGGAAGGGGAATATATGCAGATA